ATGAGTTCATTGCTGGAACAGATAACTACCCCATATTTAGAAAAACTAAACAAAGTCGTTCCACCCGAGGACGGTTCAGTATATGTCAAAACGGGGTTTACTCGAGCACAATTTTGTCGCGATTTTGCATAATTTGCTTTGTTTGCCTGCCGTGAACGTAACGCGTCCACTTGGTCCAGCTGGCGGCCAGCGCGGCTCCCTCCGACCCCAGGCCCGCCCTGCCGCCCGCCATGGTCCCCGCTAAAAGCTTTCCTGTGTCTGTGACAGCGCGGCCGCGGCCCACGGCGCCAGCAGGCCAGGGCCCGGCGGGGCATGCGGCGGACGCACAGCATGTGCGAATATCGCAATGTTTGTTAGAATTTGGCCCTGTTCCGCATGGATTGAAAATTGAAAAAAAACTCCATCATGCAATTGATACTGGCAGAAGATTTCCAAACGAAAAAAAAACCCACAAATAAACTACCTTTCGGCACTCCAATGCATAAAGTCATAAGTAATGAATTACAATAGTACCGAATTCAGTTCCTTCAGGAGTTATTTTTCCAGTGAAATAACGACCAATGTTCGCTTACTTCTTTTGCCGGTGACGTCTTCCCCCTCCTTGCGTCGCGCCGGCGCTGCCAATAGAGGCCCTCCTCGTGCCGTTCGAATGGCCGGCTGTATAAGGCGCCGTGTAATTAGAACGCACCTTTCGCGCCGCGCGACACGCATAGCGCCTCGCCGACTATCACGGCGCACGACCAGGCCGCTATGTCTACACGAGCCTCGTGTAAGGTAGAGGCGTGTCACGTTTACGGTTTACCATCTTCCCGGCCCGACGGACGATGGCGGGTCATGCATCAGGTAAATTTTGCAGCTAAAGTATTCCGGCGTGTAGACGGACTACTTGACTGTCGTCTCTGACTGCCCAAGGAGGGCACGTTACAGTAGGCAGGCAAGCCGAGGCAACCCATGTCTGCACTAGGGGCGCGGTTGCGCGGTAAAGCACATCTCCGAAATTCTACCTGTTTTATTAGCCAATGTGGTATACGGAATGATGACGATGACCTGTCTCAAAGTTCACCATGGTTATCCTGTTAATCATGTTTCAATTTTTTAACTTTTGTATACCATGTTCGCGTAGTAGCAAAACGACCGTCTTTTTGAACGGGATGCTTTTAGCCTAATCCTACTCGTACATTGTGTGTGTATTGAAAATAGCATAAAAGGAAAAGTCACAGGATTTCTGTAGTATTGTGCAAGTATTTAAATAAATACTTATCGCTTACAAAAAAGACTACATGCATAGAAACGTGTATAAATCATACTGAAACAAATGCGAAATCTCAAATTTTCAAGCGGGAACTTGACACAGACGCGGGTGACGTGCGTACTTAACGACTCTGATAGCATTTTGCACCGCGATGTCGATGGAGTAAAATACACGGCACATCACGCTGCACACTTCCTCCCGACATCACATTGCGCTGTGTGTGTGTTAGTGTGTGTGTGCGTGGGCCCAACGCATACACGCTCCGCACACCGGCCGGCGCCTCGTTGGGGATTAGGACCGATACAGCGCAATCAGCGGCCGCATTGTCCTACGATGTACGCCCCTCGCGCCAGAGGTGTTGATACCAAATCATGTGAGCACGACACCCCCTCCTCCTCGTCTCTTGCCGGCACGACACCGACGGCGGCGGTGAGATCACAACGGAAGTCGCGCCGGCGCTAATAAATATCATTGTGCCTGGGCGTGTCCGGGGCCGTGTCCGGGACGCTTACCTGGTGAACACGTCGGGGTAGTGCGTCCTGGCAAACGCCTTTTCGAGCTCCTCGAGCTGGAAGCTGGTGAAGGTGGTGCGGTAGCGGCGCTGCTTCCTCTTGGGCGGGAAGTCGTCAGCGGCCGACACCTCCGGGTCCACGTCCTCGCCGGAGCCGGCCGCCTCCTCGGAGGCCGTGGACGCGGCGCTGCCGTCCAGGAAGGGCGGCGGGCTCGAGTGCTGCGGCGAGGCGGGCGAGCGCTGTGGGGGCGGCGCGCCGGGCGGCGAGTGGTGCTGGTGGTGGTGGTGCGTGGCCTGCGCCGCCTCCCGACCGGGGCTCGACGGGCTGGCGCCGCCCTCGCTGCCGCCCCCGGTGACCGCCCCCCGCGTGCCCAAGTCCACGGGCAGGGACGTCAGAGACCCTGCAGGACAACAAGGCGTTTTGTTAGGTTATGTTACGTTAGGTTTGGTTACGTTAAGGTAAGTTAAGAAAGGTTATTTTGAGTTAGGTCGGGTTAAGTTAGGTTTGGTAAGGTTAGGTTTAGTAAGGTTAGGTTTGGTGGTAAGGTTAGGTTAGGTCTCGTAAGGATAGGTTTGGGCGAACACGAAAAGGACTCGCATTGCGTACTAACCCCGCTCGTCGTCGGGGTGCCTCCGGTGCACGCTGAGGTGCTGCAGGTGCTGCAGATGTTGCAGGTGGGGCTGCAGGTGCTGGAGGTGCAGCTGGTGCTGCAGGTGCGGCGGCAGGAGGTGGCCGTTGAGGTGCGGCGGCGGCGGCAGCGGGCCCGGCAGCGCGCCCATGACGCCCCTGCTCCTGGCGCGGACGTCCTCCTCCAGGGCGGCGGCGGGCCGTCCGCCGGGCGGCACCACGGGGCCGATCGGGCCCACCTCCACCTCGGACACTCCCATGGGACTACGCCTGTCCGCTATCTTCTCCTCTGCAACCAAAATGAACGACAAACAATCAGTTTTACACCACATCAGCAGCGGGGGCTAGTACACACACACACACACTCGACTCGAGACGGACGGACGGCGTCGGCGGCGGCCTTCTGACAACGCGCCTGGTCACTGTGATGTAGAGACACATGTTGGCTCGCCACTACGTCACCACTTCTGTTTGCTCTCCGTGTGTCTGAATGGCTGTGTGTGGCTTCGTGTGGGTGTGTGTCTGTGTAACAGAGAGAGAGGAAGTGGAGGAGTTTCAATCAGGATGAGTGACGCTCGCGGCCCGGGCAACATCAATCAGTCTGACAACCGACAAATCGACGCTGCTACGCCGCCGGCCGCCGCCGCCGCCACCACCGGCGTGCGACCCAACAGAGCACGAGGGAGGGAGAGAGAGAGAGAGAGAGAGAGAGAGAGAGAGAGAGAGAGAGAGAGGCGGGGGGGGGCAAGGGGAGAGGGTGAGCAAATGGGGATGGGCAGAGGGGAGCAAAGTAGTACAGGTGAGGATAAACGGTAAGCGGTGGACTATGTATGTAGTAAGTTTTGGACTGTACACAAAATGCATCCCGTAAGAACACCTTGTGCAGGTACGGCTCTCGCTCGCTCGCTCATTCTCCCTCTCTCTCTGAGGTGTCGTGCGCGTGCGCACCCGCTCCGCACACAATTAAAAAGTCGTTAGGGGGCGCCGCCGCGCGGTCGCCGTGCTGCTGCCGTGCCATGTGGCCCTGCACCACCTCCACCACGGTGGTCGGGGAGCAGGCCGGGGGGTCAGCCCGGCGGCAGCGACACCGAGGCTTGCTCGCTCACACGTCCCCCGGAACAGCTGAGCGGATAAAGAAAAAAAATAAAATAATAAAGGTATGAGACCTCGTGTTCGACATCAAGCAGTACACGTACGGCGTGCAGCGGCACCACACCCCTTGGCGACACGCACGACAACTGCTGTCGCTGCATTTCCCCCTTACGAACATAAGGCGTGCTGTGCTTCCCTCCATATGCTTCGGCTTTGATTTATCGGGAAAGACGATCGCGTGCCACTCTGAAGGAGAGAGAGAGAGAGAGAGAGAGAGAGAGAGAGAGAGAGAGAGA